CAGGATCCGAACCCGGGCCGCCAGTAGCGGAGCGCGCACACTTAACCGCTAAGCCACGGGGCCGGCCCCTAAGTTTCTTAATGTAATATGTTTGTCATACAGGAAATCTTTTGATGTCTTTGTAAACTAACCTTTTTTAAGCATTTCAAATGTTGCAAGGCTTCAACTATGTGTTGTAGAAAATAATATCAAAACAAACTTCTTGTTTACGTCTCAAATTAATTCATGTGAACCAAAAAACACATTGATTCACACATAAGGTTTTGTTTTTCTGCTTTTCCCCTTTCTATTTCTCATCTCACTCTTAAAGCTTAAATAAAAACATGTTTTCCATGAGCAAAGTTGTAAAAAAAACTAAACTATGTTCCTAAAGAGAAAACTGTAAAAAGTTTGCAAGTGGCAAATATCATACTTCTATAGGCAGAAAAGATACGTATTTTATAAATCTAAATATATAGTTGTGACATGGAGAGGGAAAACACCTGAATTGTTGTTATTTTCCATCATAAAATTGATTGAAAAGAAAAACAATGCATGTGACAGGGTCATGTGTCAGCCCCATATGCAATTCTGATCCTTAATATATGTTACAGCCAAGCCTTTTTAACAGACCATCTCAACTACCCAATCATCCTTATCCCTGAAATATGTGCTAAACATCCCCAAAATACATTTTCTCCTTTCATCATTATAAATGTAAGGTTGAGAAAGAGAATTTTAGTAAGAATTGTACTAACATCAGGGCAAAACTTTGAGATGTTCAAATGTGCTTTAACAAATTAATAGTCTAGACAGAGATTTCATGGACAATATACTTGAGAAGAAAAAATAAACTGCAAATGAAAAAGGAGACACATTTCAAGAAAAATAACTGATTTTAATGAATGTTTCTCCTCTTTTTTATAGGTTTTAAGATCACAAAATGTCCTACTAAATTACTGAATTATAAGAACTACATTGATACTCAGAGTGCTTGGTGTTTCTTTCCAACACTTTGAGGGCAGGAACCTGTTCCATGTGTATTGTCCCCAATAGTACCTGCCACAGCAGTGGACACAAAACAAGGCCTCAAAAAGCAGGTGACATGATATTGTTTTTATTGGAAGAATATATGGAAGGCAAATGCGTTCTGTCACTTTTATTCTTCATTCATTCAAACACCCACGGTTTGCCTGTCCCTCTGTTTTCATTGCAACTTCATGCTTGAACTCTTAATATTTGTTCTGATATGCAAATTTTCCATATGTTTTATTTTGAAATATTTTATCTAATTGCTGTGCAATCTGATGATGCTTATTTGCAAAGATTTTCCTGAATCTTCAGAAAGAGCAATGAATAGCAACTTACCAGTTGTGAAGAGAAGTTTTCTAGGATCCTGAGAAAAAGGAAAAAAAAATTTGACTGAAAAATAAAACATTGATAACATAAAATTCTATAAGGAGTCTGTAGGGTATAGGAGCCATATATTTGGTATGTAAGATACTGTTCTCTCAACAGAAATAAGACAGACTCGATTAAGTTTCATAATGTTTTTATGACACTAAAGGAGACTATAACAAGCACAAAATCCAACTCAGAGAAGTCTATCCATCTGAGAAAGGAAGAGCACTGGATGAGGAGTCAGAAGGCCTAGGTTTTCATCTTAATGGCTAATTACAAGCTAGTGGCAGTGGCCTGAAGCCCACCCTGTAACTATGTTGAGACTCATTTATTTGGCTATAAAGTGGAAACATTAATATATACTGTCTACCAGAATTGCCAAACTGCACCTAAAGGTGTCAAGACGCTGAGAATCAAATGTGATAAAATATGTAGGGGTGTTTGTACAGTATAAATTCAGTGCAAAGAATACCAAATGAGAATGTACAATGTTTTAAATACTGTGAAAAGCAGTGCTGATACTCAAATAAGGAGAGGTTCCTATTACTCAGAAATACAAAACATTAATATTGTTATTATAATATTTCCTTTAAACTATATCTCTCATGGTGTAATAAACTACAGTTAACTCCCTTTCTATCTTCTGGAAAACTTAGATCAATTCCCAGTAGATTGTGGATTTATTTTTCATCCTAATGCTGCTTAATATTGCACAACTTTTGAATTTCTTTCCTTATGCCTCCGTGAATCTGGGGTCAGGCCAGCCTATATACAAAAGTAGGAAATCATTTTCATGATGTAATTTCAGGGACCACTTGCTCAGGAGTAGCTCTCATCGGGCTCAGGTCAAATGACTTCTACCCCTGGTATTAGAAACATGATTAAAGAGGGTAATCTAGAGAAACTTAATATATAAACAACTGGTAAAAATATAAAACAGGCTGAACAAAGTGGTAATATCAGAAATATGAATAAATAGCTATGGAAACTCGGAAGATGAAATAATTAACATTGCCAGGGAACGAAGATGGAATGTGAGACTAAGAGATGGTTTCACGATGACAAGAGGACGCAGATTTAGCTAGGCCATCAAGAATGTACCACAGTCACAAGTTGGAGGATGGGTCATTGGAGATCTGGAGGAGGCACGGTGAAAGCACAAAGAAAAACAGTAGGGTGCATGGCACAAACCCATCTTTTTCAAAGACAATTCACAGAAAAATACATCTGTTTATGCATACAATATGTGCATTTGTGTTTGGTTTTTCATCGTCATCTAACATATTGCTGGTACCTAGTAGGTGCTCAGAAATATTTATTAAAAGAAAGAAGAGAGAGAGGGAAAAACAAAGGCAGGAAGGAAGTAAAGAAACGGGAAATATAAATTAAAATGAGTTATCATTTTTCATCCATCAGATTGGCAAAAATTTAAAAAAAAAGGTGAGGTGTAGAAATAAACATTCTGATAAACTTGGTAGAAGTGTGTAAACTGTTGAAGGCAATTTGGCAATTTTCATCAAAACTAAAAATGTGCATACCTTTGACAACAAACTTCTACTTCTGTGAATCTGCCTAGCAGAACTGTACAAAAAATTAAATTTATTGGAGTGCAGTTCATGACAAAAACTTGGAATCAACCTAAACATCTGTGTAAAAGGAAAAGGCTAAAAGTAAATTATGGTTCTTTCATATGAAGAGAATGAGATAGACCTATACATTCTGATACAGCAAGCCACAACACATATATGTACGGAAACAAGTAAATTGCTGAGGAATGTGTATTATAAAATACTACTCAAAATACCTGATAAGAAAACATAAAATTATCAACTTTGGCTATTTTGAGAGGAGAAGCTTTCACTTTTCATTCGGTTGGAAGTTTTTAAATATTTCATATTGAGCATACATCACTCTTAAAATGAAATAAATTTAATAAATAAAACCGCTAAAATGACTAAAAATATTGGAATATTAAGCAAAAGTATATTACATTAAAATGATAAAACCGTTATAGTTATTAAAGACATATGAATTATAAAACAAAAGAGAGAAGCAAAGAAGGAAAAGACAGAAGAGGAAATTGCATTGTAGAGCAGGAACAAGTAACCCCACGTGATATGGGCAGAGGAAGATGGAGGAATGAGTAGAAGCAGAGACAGGCAGGGAGAAGTGGGGGCTCTGGTCCGAAATCATCACATGTGAAGACCTTCCACTGCCATGCTAATGAGCTGGACTTTTCAGTGGTTCTTAATGCTGGGTGCACTCTATAATCACCTGGTGAGCTTTTTAAAAAGATCAATGCCTGGCCCCAACACAGATCAATTAAATCACATTGGTATTTTCAAAAATACTAGTATAGTCAAGGGATTTATGGAAAGCTGCTTGCTATTTTGGTTTTGTGATTTGTTTTGTGATTTGTTTCCATGATTGTGGTTACTTTTACCTTTGTTTTGTTTGGGGAGGGAGGTTAAGCACATGATTGCAGCCGTATTAATTCAGATAACTCCTGTGATATGTGGAGGAGAAAATGGACTGCGCAAAGCTGGGAAACAATCTTATTAAGTCACTACCAGACTTATCAGAACAGGGTGGGGTTCTGATCCCCTGGGACACTGAGCACTTCGGTTTTGATGCAGTCTTAGCTTCATAAATCAAAGGTAGCCTGAGGACACCCTGTACCAAGCAACAGAGACCTAAGCAGGGTTGTGTATGTGCTGTTTGTTCGTCAGGCTCTGGACCGGCACCCTGCACATATAATTTCATTGTATGGGCAGCTTCACACGGACAAAAGCACCCCTAAGTCAGATATTGCCTGCTACAGAAATCAGCTCAGATCGTCTATTTTGAGGGTTAAAAACAAAACAAAACACAGTGAACCATTAAAACTCAATAATATTTTAAGTCAAATATTGATTATTTAGGATACTCAAATAATCAACCTTCTTTTCTGCCCTTTTTTCTCCCAAGCACAGTATCTGAGTTATTAAAGGATTTTTACCCTGTAACAGCACTGTCGACAGTCTCCACTGAAAGGAATTAGACCAAAACTGTTGGGAGGAAGAAGGCAGGCCTGAGTGGCAACCATCTGAACACTGCAGAATATAAAAACTAGACACTCTCTGAACTTCCATTTTCAGCAGGAGAGACCATGAAATAGTAATTACCTATATTTTCTATTGAAAAAGAATAAAACTCAACTTGACAAGTACATTTTAAAAGCACTCAAAAGGAGCAGCAAGGTGCAAATTTTCTGTGAAAATCACAGACCTCATTAGTCATCTCACGACAAGGGAAAGTAAAATTAGAAGACAGAGACCACCCACCTCATCTCGGTATCTTGCTGCATTCAGTTCAACGAAATCCTCACTGTAGTTCACTGAGAAGTTGAGGGCATTCACCAGATGGGCAGCCACGTGCACACCTACAGAATCGCACCAGGCACAAGTCAGTGGGATCTCAGGCATGCTGTATGAAGAGGAGTCAGTTCCTTTCCCCAAGGAAAAGACTGGGTCAAACTTTGACAGCTATATGAGCAATAAAATATTAAATTGAAAAGGGAAGTTCTAAAGACACAAAAAAATCTTTATTACAGGCAGTTTTAGCATTAGAAATCATATAAAGTAATGGAATTTTCAAAGGCTGGAATAAAATAACCCTAGTAAGTGAAAGTTAGAAACATACACACACACACACACACACACACACACACACACACACACACACAAGTATGGGTATAATAATATGGGCATTTATTTATTTATTTATTGAAGTAGCTCCCAGATATTTTAGATGTTCCACTTCTTGCACCCCTCCCCTACCTCCAAACTTGTTTTATATCTTGTATACTTCATTGCCACTCAACATAAAACAGGCCCACTGAAAGACTTTTAACTGGTTGAAATTTTTCACAATCCACAGATTCAAATCATAATATCCTAAACTCATCAGCAAAAGTGTTGGTAACCACTTCATGAAATAAAAACTCAGGAAAATAATAATCACCATTTAATAATCTACCTACAAGGGCAGAGCATAGAGGGCTCAACTGACTCAGAGCTCACACAAAAGATAAAAGTGTTAGGAAATTACTAAAGAATTGAAGACAAATTCATTTTGGCATGATCAGGGAAAAGAAATGATCTTGAGGAGGTTGGACAAGGAAGGAGCAAATGATCTTGTGCACTGAACTATAATGTGCTACTTCCTCCCCAATCTTTTCTTGTAGGAAACTAGGTTTGAAGTAACAGCACATTGTAACGTACTGAAAAGAACAACAGTCAACTAGTTGGAAAACCTGTTTCCTTGGCCACATTGCTCGCCTACCGATGCTTCAGTTTACTCCTCTGTAAAATGAGAGTGACAGAAATCAGAGACTTAATGAGATAAATGACCCGAAATTGCTTGCTAAACCATTATAGTTTACCTTGTAATGAGCGTAGTGGTTCAAAAGAAGATATGGCTTAGAAACTAGAAAACTCTATAATCTTCTCCAACCTAGAATATGAGATGTAGAGAGGCCAAGAGTTCTGAATTACTCACAAAGACCAACAAAAGTGAAAGAGAAAGACTAGAATGCTAAATAACCTAAAAGTTATTTAAAGGATTCACAAGCTCCTGCCAGTAATCAAATTAGAGGGAAAAGGGGTCTCATAAAAATGGGACAGGGAGCTAGAAGTAGGTTAATTAACAAGCAAGAACAGGGTTCCCAAGAAGTAAAACAAAGGGCGTCTAGGTGAGACTCAACTACAGCACAGCTCTAAAACATTATTTAAGCAAAACTGTTATATCCTATAGCTTCATCACTACTGAAATCTATAGTAAAAGAAAAAAAAATTCATCAGTTTAAATTAAAGGCTTATATGTTAACTACATATTTTATGGCTTAAAAGTGCAAAGATATCCTTAGAGGAACTGCCATTTTTTCTGAATCCTCCTGAAAAAAAGTCCTAGGTAACAACTGTATTACATACACCCCTAAGGGATATATTCACCTTCTGAAACAGCATATGAGGTCAAAAGAATTCAGGGTTTCTAATTTTAGGCAGCAGGGAGAAAACTATGCCAAGCACTTTACACGGATTTTCTCGTTTTGATTCTCACAACAGAAAATGAGGTAGGTAGAATCATCCCCATTTTACAGATAAGAAAACTAAGGTTAAGAAAAGTAACTTAGCTAAGACCAGACCACTAGTGAGTGGCAGAATGCAAACCCTCTGGAAGACATATCCATTCAGAGCAATACTCTACACTATCCCAGGTTCTTGGCTGTTCTCCAATTGAACCGAATATTTGGACACAACCTCAGTTTAGAACAAATCAAGTTATGAACGTGCCAGTGTTTCCTGATCCTCCTCCATTTCTGACCTTTCACCCTCTCTAGCTTTAACCCATCTGTAACCCTCCTTACACACTTGATCCTTGTCTCAACCTGGACTCCTACTCCATCTCTAGCCTCGAGCTGTACTGGAGTCCTAATCCCATCCCTGAGCCTCTCCAGGTCTCTCACCTCCAAAGGTGGGAACTACCAATGGGAAGATGTTCAGGGATAAAACAGTGAAGATAGCTGTTTCAACATAGTTGGCAATTTTTAAAGAGCTGAAAATTTAATTATTTCTTGATAATACCTGTATCAAAACACTCCTGATTCAACATGGCCATACATAAATGTCCATACTAAGTGTCCCTAGTATCAAAACAGCTGTGTCTTATCAGATAATGACCAGATGAAAATGTCAGGTGCTATGCCACTGAGATAATTAACCCCTGAGATTGTAAATTATAACTAACTTTATTCTAAGAATTTTATAGCATGTTCTCATTTTAGTCTTAAAACTATGAGGTAGGTGCTACTGTCAATCCATTTTACAGTTAAAACAACAGCAAACTAAAGATCAGAGAGGTTATGTCACACAGTAAGGCAGAAGGACAGCTGGGGACAGATCCTACATAAACCGTCTCCATAGTCCATCTACTTAATCAATATGTTTATTACTTTCCATTCTAAAAGTTTGAAAAGTATCATATAAATGCTAAGGATAAAAATCTATTTTACAATGACTCTTAAGAACCAAAGAATTCTCCCTTTATTTTTCAACTTGGAATTGAGCAGGATAAATTTTCACAAATTTTTGACATTTGCTCTTCTACCCAAGTATTAATATCAAAGAAACACTTATAAATATAATTTTGGGTGGACTCATATTCTATGAATGTACATTTCACATTCCAATTTTCACGCATTTAAACTCCTATCATATCATTGTTTTAGAGCTTAAAAACTTTTAGTCTGCTTCTTCCAATATTTCTAAATGAAAACATTTATTTTTAGGAAACAATCATTAACAGCTTGGGGGCCAACCTTTGCATATTATAATATAAAATATATATATATATAAATAATGCATAAGACACACCCATTTTCTGTAGTGCCACCTAGACAACTCTCTTTAAAAACATGAAAGAGAAAATTAAGCTAAAATAAGAAAATCACAAGTTGGTGACAGTAAATAATTTATAGAACAATAAAAATACCGTTTATAAAATGTATTATTCTAACACAATATTTAACATCTTTTGGTTTTCTCACCTGAGAAAATACAGATAGTAACACCACATGTTATATGGAATGTTCTGCTTTTATCCAACAATCTTCTTGTTCTCCTGCTTGGAACCTAAATAAAAATTATTTAATATGGTAAAAATGATGCAACAAATAAGATATATGTACAAAGTTTTTCACTACAGCATTGTTTATAATATCAAAGTTTTGGAAATATGGCAGAAGCCTATCAGTTAAAAATTGGTGAGGTGAATTATGATATATCCAGTCAATGGAATACTCAACCATTAAAAAAGAATGTGAGAAGGCTCATTATTGATATGGAAAGATGTGCAAGATATATTGTTAGGTAAAAAAATTATAACAAACTACACTATGATCCTATATTGTTTAAAATTAATGGCATTATATGTTAACATGTCTACAGGCATTTACCCCAAACTGTAATCAGTGGTTGTTCTGGCAGAGTAATATTAGGGGAAACCTTCACTGATTACTTTGCATATTTCTGAAATGTATGAATTTTACAATATATATGATTTCCTTTTGTAGTCAAAAAATAAGATTATTTTTAAATGAAGCAATTTCGTCTATGGTTTTAAACATCTGTTTGATCTTATAGACAAATAAAATATCAAGCATCTTTGAATACCTATGTTGCACACCAGGTGACAATTCTTTAAGACTTATAAAATACTGAAAGACTTAGGTGAGCACTTTTCATTTCCTGCCATTTATCTTCTCTTTCATCATGCCAAGCTAATGGCCAGGCACAGGGATCAAAACGTAGCATTTTACAATAGTAGACAACTGAGAGAAGAGTTGTTTCCACAAATTACTGCATTAAAAGTAAAGAGATTCCAAATATAATTATGTGAAAAGGTTGAGAAGTTTTACTGCTGTAAATCTACCTATATGAACTTCACAGAACACCAAAGTGACCTCATGTTAACAAACTTTTAAAATATCAGTATCTATCCAGCAGTGCCTTACTATCTTAGTGAAAAAAAGGAACGAACAAACACATACACCACACACACATACACACACACGAGGATAATCGAAGACAAAAAGGAATTTCAGTTGAGTTTTAACTTTCAAAATGTTTGTTTTCTTACATCCTTCATATTACAACACAAAAAATCACACGAGACCTCATTATTTAATCAACACATCTTTGCCAAGCTTACTACACAGCTCAAAACAGGTATGTGTTTTAAGAAGCGATAAATTGCCACCAACACCAGCAGTTGCCTTATGAATTGCTCAAAGGTCACAGGGCTCTCGTTTGCTCACCTGGATTTAACCAAATGAAAACGCAGCATCTCAATGAGGCATGGTATAGCGGAGGGAGCTCGGAACTGGGACTGATCTTAGCTCTGCCATTCACTAGTCTCATGATCTTGGTCAGGCTACTTAACCTTTCTATGCCTCAGGTTCTTCATCTGTAATACCCAGCTGCAGCATCATTGTGAGGATTCACAATTATATACGGGAAGTGCTTAGCACAGGGCCTGATACTACTCCTAATAACTTTTTCTATTACCCTCTGCCCTTATCTAGTGTTGCAGAATAGCTCACTGATCATCTTGACAGGTGACGTGGTCTTTACTATCACCTTCGAAGAAATCACTCTAACAAGAAGTCAGACCATGAAAACTAAGTAGGACTAATATGTCACTGTTACACTTGGTTTTTATGTTGGAATTTGTCACTAGGATATTTTTTCTTACCTTCTGGGATCCTCGAAGGTAAGCCAGGAGTGTTCGGCACATGGGTAATAGGATAAGGCTGCAGTTGAGGTTAAGAACAGAGGCGGAGGCTCTGCTTAGACACAATCCTAGCTGAACAAATAAGGCAACAGTCAAAACACAGTCAGGGACACAAGTAAACTACAAACATGCTGGGGACCTCACCCTGCTCCTCCTTTAGGGACCATGACAAATATCAACTCTTTCAGGAATTTTGAATAACCCTCCACTTTCCTCTCACCAAAAACCCCTATGAGAAATTGGTCTCTTTCTGCTCTGTACTCACCTAAAACCCAGTCTGCTCCCATTTCTACTAGTGTTACAATCACCTGAGTACATTCTTCCAGCATGAGGTCAATTTCTTGCTCTGCACCCACTATACATTTTGGGGTGTTAAGAGCTCTAGAGAGCCTCAGTACATTCTGCACCTCCACACTGGTGCCATGTTGAATCCTTTGTTCGCTGATAAGTACTAAGAATTTCAAACAAAACTCTTTTGTGTTCTGTCTAGAACACTCTGAGCCTCCGCACAACCCCCTTCCACATTCTTACTAACTCTACTCATCCTTCAGGCTTCATCTGAACTACTGCTCCTCTAGAGCTCTTCCCTGACCCCCCACAAGGAGAGATCCCAGATCAGCTGTGACTCATACAAAGCGAATCATAACCACATTGGACAACATATTTTTCAAAGAATCAGTCCCTTCGGTGTTGATGCAACACTTTTTTGGCAACTCATTGTAAATCAAACCCTTGCTAGATTGTCATCTGCTTTGGTCTGGTACTATCCACATTCTTCATATGAATGGTATACCACATGAAAACAAAAGACGGGGCTATATCTATACACTTGTCCTGAAAGAAACATAAAACTACTTTATTTTAAGGACACTGACTAAGACATATGTGTAAGTCAGATGCTTTTTTCATCTTGAAATTGTTCATGCCCCTGAGATTTCCAACTTAACTCTTGGCAAAACAGCAACTCTGTTACGTGGTGTTTATTGTCAGCATATGAAATCTTCCTGAAGGGGAAACAGGGTAATAAGTATGTCAGGAAAGCAATAATTTCATTGATTTATATAAAAAGTAATTAATATTTCCAGTTAAGCTATATCTATACCATGAGTTAGAACACCTTAGGGATACAGTTCAATGAATATACCAGTAAGTGGACAAATAGAAATAATCCTCTCTGGGTTATCTAAAAAAAAATGAGAAATATGATTTCCTCACCTCAATCAGCAAAATTATTATCATTTGAGAATGATAGGTTTTTGTTGGTTAGGCCTCCAGAGAAATAGAACAATTGTTACCTCTTTTGATCTGGCATCTGCCAATGATAAGATAATTTTAGCTCAAGGGATTTTACATGATAATTTTATCTGTAATTTTAATGTACCAGGACAATAATTTAAAATATATCAGCTAAAATCTATCATACAACTTCAATAGTTAAGATACAAATAAATTATCCAAATTTCCTTGGTGTTTCAATGCTTTAAAGAAAATTCTTATACTTCTTCATTTTCTAACCTTTCATTGCATGTCTGGAAGTGTTTTATTGTTGTGTTTACATTAAATCACGCAGTAATTTAATTCAAAATGGCTTTAAGGGTCCACTTGGGACAGATACAGTTTATTTTGGCATTCCAGTTCTTCCTTATGATGCTGCAAAACGTAACCAGAAATTTTACCAAGGACTCATTTCCTCATAAATGTTTGTCTATGAATATACTTAGTTCTTTAAGATGAAAACTTCTTTTTATTAGGTTATCAGAGTACAGATTCCCTCACTCAGAAGCAGTAGAGCGAGTGAGAAAAATGGAGACATATTCCAGTCAAGTGGCACAATCATAGGAAACCATTTTATCTACTTACCACAGTTATATTCCACAGCGAAGAGCATTTGTTTTATTTAGTCATTAACTCATGACTTTCATAAGACTCAGCTACTTCAAATGTTCACTAAAAAGAAATGACTGCCCTAAGTTATGTGCTTGGCCCACTCTATGTGAATGACTTGTTTTACCATTCCTAGAGAGCTTAACCTGCTACTCTAGTTTTCAAATTTCATTCAGGTTAGTTGTCACTAGATGGCAGTGTTACTTTCATGTTTCAAATCCTACCTGTCAAGGTCTCTAAGATATAACCAAAAATTCCATATGTAATTTTTAAAACTATAGATATATTTTAGATGAGTAGGTATAAATAAAACATACATTAGTCCTTGTATGGACTGAATGTTTGTGCGCCCCCAAAATTCGTAGATTGGAACCTGTGATGGTATTTGGAGGTGGAGCCTTTGGGAGGTAATTAGGTTTAGATAAATTCATGAGGGTAAAGCCCTGTGATGGGATTAGTGCCCTTATACGAACAGGAAGAGACCAGGGCTCTCCCTCTCCCTCTCCTCCATGTGAGGATACAGCAAGAAGGTGGCTGTCTGCAAACCAGGAAGAGAGCCCTCACCAGCTTCCAGAACTGTGAGAAATAAATGTTTGTTGTTTAAGCCACCCAGTTGATGATATTTTGCTATAGCAACTCAAACTAAAACAGTTCTATAGAAAATTAAGAAAATATGCCATTTGAAGCAAGTTATAAAGAATATAACATCTAGGTATATCAAGTGCATAGTTATTTTCCTAAAATTTCAAACACATGGTTTCTCATCTTAAATCTGCTACTTAATAACTGTTAATCTTGACCTAGCTAATTGTCTTTATCTGTAAAGTTTAGAGGGATACAATGTCTTTATCTGTAAAATTAATATAACACAATAATCCTAGCTCTTAGGACTTTTGTGAATAGAAAAATCAGTCTAAAAAATATGCAAGCACCATATAAAATTAACTTATTGCCTTAGGGTCACTGTATTACATCCTTTCTCTAAATGTGTTCTTCTATGATGTTACAGTAAGTATTATCTGTTCCACTTACATTATTCATTCAACACGTTTATTGTGATTTGCACATATTGCAAGGCACCAGTTCAATAGTGAACTAAAAACAGAAGATGCCTTTTGCCTTAGGATGCTTATATTTTAGTATGGGAAAAATATACTGATCAAATAGTTACATAATCAAATGTAAATTGTAACAGTGATCAATGCTGTGAATGAGACACACAGAGTATGAGCATGTATAACAGGAAATGAGATCTAAAGAGGAAAGTCAGGAAGGCTTCCTTGAAAGGTGAACCGAATTCTGGTGGGTGATAGCAGAAGTCATTTAGGAATGGGAAAGTCATCCATGCAGAAAAAGCCAGCATGAGAACTGATGTGTGGCAAATAGGAGCATGGTGTATATACGAGAAATTAGTAGTAGGTCTATATAGTTGGACTGGAAATGGAGGATGGTACAACATAAAGCTAGAGAAGCAGGTAGGGGTAGATCTTGCTGGACTTGGTAAGTCCTGTTAAGAATGCCTGTCTTTATCCTAAAATCAATGCAGAGTGATTGTGTTTTAAGGAGGAAGGTGGTATGAAGAGATTAGTATTTGGTAATGATTACTCTGAATGAAGTGTGGAGAACAAATTGGAAGGAAATAATTTTGGCAATTACATAACGTTCTGTAGTTTATCATCACAAAAGTGAAATGTTGTTTGAGACAAGGACTACATTTTACGGTAATTACATCTGAGTCTTACACAGAGAAGGGATTCTCTATGTTTTGACTAAACATTTTACTTAGTAAATTTATTTTGCTCAACAATTCACTAAAACATATACTTCTAAAATTGGAGAACTAAAAGGTCCTAACCCGCATCTCACATCCACCCAAAGTCTAACCCATTCTATGACAGCCCTGACCAAATGCAGTCTATCCTCTGTTGAACTTTTCCTGAGACAGCAGCCTATTCCACTGTCCAAAAGTTCTATTTTGTTTTCTTACACTATGATGAAATCTGCATCTCTGTAACTTCCACCTACTGGGCTACTCTGGATAATAATATTCCTGAAACAGACATTCAAAAACTGAAGATAAAAATGGGATGATTTCCTAGCCCAATCTTTTAATTTTATTCAGGCTAAACACAATTAGCTACCTCTAAAATTCTTGATATAAAGACTCCCTCATCATCTCAGTGACGTTTCCCAATTCACCAGAATTCAGCACATCTTCAACATAGAGCAGTACTGAAGATCATCTCCCTCACTAAGGACACAATCTGCTCATTCTAAGTCTGTTATATTGCGGGGCAACTATGTTGCATAATGGCTCATGTTGAGTTTACAACAAATAGATTTTCTCATATGAATTGCTATCAAACAATAACCCCTCTATCCTACACTAGAAAAAAAAATGAAGGTGTGAGAGAGCAGGTACATAAATGCAAGAATTTATTGCCTCTAGCCTATTATATTATATTGGGTATGAATTCTATATTCTGATATTTTTCCTTCTCAATTTTGCCTTAGCTGAAAATTTTACATTCACATTTTCCACATGTTCATCCAAGTTCTTGACAAGGCTATTAAAATGTAACAAACTCCTCTTGAAATGGTTGACTCGAGAGAGGACTTGCAAACTACCTTTTCTGGTACATTAACTTTCAAATGAACATTTTGCTAACAACTGGGAATCTTTTCAACAATTTTGGGGAAATATAATATGCCATTCTACATGTAAATATCTATGCAAAACTATTGTTAGAAGGGATTCGAAAAGGCCAGAGAAGTATTAATAGTAAGCTTTAATAATTGGTCATTTTTCTAGCTACCTCTTGGTGAATCAACAATTAGTCATTTCCAGGAAAAAATAAAAATAAAAATTACCATAGAGGTTTACAAAAGATTTTTTTTATATTCTGATTTGGTATTTTGTGTTTGTCTAAATTTATGTAAATTTGTACTCATTAAGGTCAATTTTATTGACTCTTTTCACCCAAGGAAATATTTTTAATCAAACCAAATGAAGCCTACACAATACCTAATTCTTACATGCTTTATAATCACAGCATGGTAGATCTTTTATGGGGCCCTACAAGTCACCACGTCCAGTCTTCTTTTTGCCTCTACTTACACCGCTAGCTTGTAAAGAAGCAAGGACAGGAACCCAGGCCTCCCCTCCACGGTCTCTTGTCATTTCCATA